AAATGTACATCACATTTATCAGTCATCTTTTTTCCTTTAGAAAAGTAGATTCTTTTGTATGCCTTGAATCCATCTCGCACTGAATATGAAATTTCAAAAGGAAAAAAAGTTATGCAAGCTTGCAACCCATAGACTGAATATTGCCAGTTATAGCGCCCCCAATGGGCCAACAAAATAATACTTTTGTTTTCCGTGCTATTGTGTTCTATTCTTTCTCTTCATTGCATCTGTTTCCCTGATCTACGTAACTATATGGTAATCAGAACAATGAGGGATAAAAACAAGTACTATGGCTCGCTCACAGTCTGAAAACATGTTGACTAAAATTGTTGTGTGTACGGTGTTTTAACCAATTCCATTGCTACTGTTTGTTGTTTCTGATTGAAAAATCATCGGCAGTCAGTTCAGTGATATTAGAACTGTCCGCCGAATCTCTGTGCATCATCAAATAAAAAGTATTATTAGAGAACATACTGATTATCTTCTATCTTTAGGTGAAAATAATTGCGGTATTCTCGGTTGTGAAAATGACTGCCATGTGTCACCAACTGGTGGCATATGCTACTGTGATGTTGGATATATATTAGACACAGATAACAGAACGTGTGTAGGTGAGGTCTCAAAAAGTATTTTTTTCTGAGAAATTCCTTAAACACAATGCAAAATGTACTTTGTTAGATTCATATTTTCATCATAATTGTTGAACTTGTTCTTATACATGTAACTTGTATTTAATACGGATGGAGTCAAATCTATATATACTCATACTTTTTTTAGTGTTACTTTCTTTCAATTACTGTAAAAGGATTAATTATTCACTGGGTTTTAATTTTGCTTATTTCGCTGACTGGAAAATGTGCTAAATTAAAACCCAGTGAATATGTAAAATTTAGCATAGAACACATTATCTAAATGATAAAACCGTGAATTTAAAACCCATTGAATATGTCTGAAATGGTAAATCAGCGAAATTTAAACCCAGCGAAAATTAGTCATTTTACAGTACTATGAATGTTATGTGTCAATGAATTTGTTTTTTATTAAAGTGAAATCTTGTCCAAAAAGTATAGTGGGAATATGGAGTAACCCTAAAAATTACTGAAAAGTGGGATGGGGGGTGGGGGGGGTGTTACGATATTATAGTTATACACTGTACAGTTGTCACTGTATTTCCACAAGTTACAGCGTGTCGTAATTTTGCGGTATTGAAAATTCTATCTGCAGCCTACCATATTAGGAAATGTGAATTCCAAATGGAATGATCATTTTACCCACCTCTGGGGTTTCTGTATCATGCGATTGGTTCGTAAAGGTGTATTATGATAATAAGGTCATTATGAGGATACCACATAGTTTGAATTCGGGCAGTACGTAGTCGCATAACATTCTACTACACTGCATTTGATTCTCTTACTGTCTTCATGCATACTTTGCGGTATCCTCGCAATAACTTTATGTACATTAGATTTGTACAAAAAATATTTGTTAACAAGCAGTAAATTAAGAATAACTAGTGTAAACCTTGTAAAATATATATTTTCTGAAAGTATGATTTTTTATTTTTTCGGGTTTGCAGATTATGACGAGTGTGGAGTATGGGGTAGCTGTGATCAGCTGTGTCACAATGTTCCAAGTGCGTACAGGTGTTCATGTTACGAGGGTTATCAAATTGAAAATAATAGCCATTGTAAAGCAATAGGTAAGCATTATGATTGGTTAATTACGAGATGTTTTTATTCTAATTACCCAATCACAGTGCTATGGTATTATTACTTTATTCTCATGAAGTTTTTGACCACTATTTTTCCATCAATTGAAACCCATTTTTTCTATGCTGAGTAAGTAGTCTTCAGCTAGCCCTCTGAATAATAGCTTTGGCTTTTTTTGGGGGGGGGGGCTCACAGGATTATTTATTTGCTCACACATGTGATGCCTCCCGGATGAGATAAAAATGATTTTACAAGACCAAAACAAAAAAAATACAGCAGGAGATCAAGTTCATTTTAAATGGCAATAAAAAAAAATTCACTCTTCTATACATAAGATTTTGTATTAATCTATGAAATAAACACAGATACGCAGAATGTGTTAAACAACCTTCATAATTACTGTCAAAAATGGAAGCTACAATGTACAAGTAATTACAACGGAAACTAAAATTGTTATCTATAAAAGGAGAACATTGAAAACAAAAAAAAGGTTGTACTTTCAACAACAACAAATTGCTAGGTGTTGACTCATATTGTTACCTTGCTGTAACTCGATTGGTTGTTTTACTGATACAAGAAAACCATGGCAATGCTCTATATAAACTATCGATACAAAAAAAACTTAACATTATGTGAATTTTTTGTCATGTAATGTTTTTCAATTCCAATGACAAATGCTTACAAATTTAGAAGAAATTAAAGGGAGAGGGTTGTCATCTGTGCACGCTCGGTAATTGAATCTCAAGAGACGATAACAACACGCGCTAAAAACGCAAAGGTTCATGGATGTTTGTAAATAATGACACTGTATGGCCATCTGACGCTTGCGCAAGTGACGACTCTCTCTCTTTAATAAATAAGTTCTCTTTGACAATGAATTTGTACATCTCTAAAGTATCAGGATGTGTGATATTTTTGAGGTCAATCATGATGTTTGAACTTCTTTGCAGGTGGGGGAGCGGCCAAAATTTTTTTTTCGTTAAGGAATGCCATAATGAGTGTGGACATTGATGGCAGTAACATTGAAACTGTTGTAGAGACCGAAAATGCCATAGGTGTTGACTTCCACTATGCAAGTCAGATACTTTTCTGGACTGATGACACGCACAATAAAGTAAGTTCAATGAACTTTATTTTATCCGAGATATCATTGCAGCTCAGTGTAGTAATTTTCTGCATCTCCATGCAGTCACAGTCCCAGCAAGCTGATTGGTCTATGCAAGCACATTGACTTTTTGACATACTATCGCTAAATATTATGAGATATTGGTGGTTTTACATTATATTTATTAAATTATTATTCAAATATTTCTGTTAGCTTCAGATGACGGCTAAAACACATGTGAGGCCTTATATATGATTTGTTCAACACAAATACAAATTTTTATTTAAGGCAGAGATGCAGGTTTGTGGGCACTTGGAAGTGAATTTTTTTTTTTACTTTTTATTATCCAAACAGTCTTGATTGTGTTTATCTTCAAAACGCCGTTGAAGTAGTGAAATTTGAGCTGCTGCCTTGCAAAATTGACAACTGGTAGACAGTTTTCAAGACGACACTTTCTTCATAGTAAACAGATGTACCCATGAACCAATTTTGACAGGAAACAGAAGCATGGTTTAGAAGCTAATTTTTTTTAAATCACTTTTGACCAAAAAAGCACTTTTTGTGCATATTTCAAACTACAGTGTCCATAAAAAAAATGCTAAAAAAAATTTAACATTCATACAATAAGCTTTCCGAAAATATTAGTTTTGTGGACAAGGGAGGTCACCTTGGTTTCCTAATCAACTAATTAAAATACCTATCAGGTAAACTGCATCTCTACCTTAATATTAAATTCTATTCTCAGTACGAGCTGTATAATTATATGCTTTGTTGAATAAACAGCTGACTTCTAAAAAAAGGCAATAGTCACGAAGGCTTGTTTTTTTGTTTTGTTTTTCTCAGCTTTATTCATCAAACATTGATGGTACTGGAGTAGAAGTTGTTTTGGATATTGGACTACATACACCAGAAAATGTCGCAGTTGACTGGATTGGAAATAAACTTTATGTTGTAGAAAGCTACATTGGGCAGATTGATATATGCGAAATGGACGGTAGCCTGAGGGCGCCCTTGCTTACTGAGGGTCTTAACCAACCACGAGGAATCGGTCTGGACCCGACAGAAGGGCAAGTACCGATATTCTTATAAACTACAAATTAAGCTAAGCTTTATAACAATTAAGACTATCTTGGGATGTCTGTTTGGTTGTTGTGTTGTTGACTTTGAAAATTATCGTACATGTATGAATGTCCGCGTCACCTTTTTACTTTTTCAAATTCTTCTTGATCTGATTGCTTTGATAGTAGACCTCTCTCAAATTTGTTCATTTCAAGATATCTTCAAATCTCTAATTTTGATGAATATAATTGTACTTTTTGATAAAAAAAAAATATTTTTAACTGTTTCTTGAAAACGGCAAGCCCAATTGCTTCAAAATTTCATGTGTGGAAACCTTAGATGGACCTCAGTCAGATTTGTTAATTTTGTGACAATACCTTCTGAATCAATTCTCTAATTTTAGTGAAAATCTTTGTAATTTATTGTAAAAATGGCTTTTTTTGTCTAAACAGCAGATCTATATTAGCTGACAGGCTGCTTGTTTAACCTACCACTCAAATATAACATACATACCATAGTAACACATATACTTTAAAATGTAAATGAAAGAGGTGTCAAATAAATTTATATTTTAATAATCCAGCCTACAAAAATTCCATTGTTAGTTTATTGGAGATGCACTTTTAAACAAATATAATACATGTTCCTGACTTGGTTACTTGTTGTTTTTATGCAGGTACATGTTTATTAGCGATTGGGGCAAATACCCTGCTATTAAGAGGGCATTCATGGATGGGTCTAATGTCGTCATCTTGGTGTCAGACAAGGTCATTTGGCCGAATGGTTTGACAGTAGACATTGCATCCAAAAGGATATTCTGGGTTGATGGACGATTGGACTATGTTCAGAGTGTTACTTACAATGGTCAAAACAGGTATGTCCAGACAGGAAGGCATCTATGAGTCTCGCAGAAAAAACAGATTGCCAAATTTGTTTGCAAGTTTTTGGGTCACACAATGTTTTATTGTACATCATTAAATTCAAATTTGACAATTTTTTGTTTGTTTCACCAACAAGGTGGACAGTTTTTCATGCTAAATTATCACATGCTCTCATGTACCATATAATAACCAATTTTATCTGAACATCAATGAATTTTTTTCAAATTAATCTTTTTTTTGTTTTATTCAAAGGGAAACACTCATATCGGGTGGTCTCTATGTACCGCATCCTTTAGATATAACAGTATTTGAACAGTATGTATACGTATCTGATTGGACAAAAATGGGACTCTTAAAAGTTAACAAGTTCATGGAATCAGATTACACCATCATTGTGCAGACAGAGAGTGCTAAACCAATGGGTGTGACAGCTTACCATCCAGCAAAACAACCCACTGGTAAGTAAACCCACTGGTAAGTAAACCCACTGGTAAGTAAACCCACTGGGTAGCTTATCTACATCACATTGATTTGCAAATTTGACTCAAGATGGCTGACTGGCACAACAGGGAGTATTTTAAAATTCTTGTTTCAAATCTTACTTGTGAGAATTCAAAACAGAGATGCATGAATTTACATGCATCAGAACACTAGCATGAGTCAATGGAAAGCTCTCATGGTCATTACCATTCAAACACAGAATACCATGATTGAAAAGTTTTACTTAAATTTGTGCAAATTCATACTATCGAATATGTTGCATGATTGTCTCAATACTCAAAGAAAGTTTTAGAAAATTTAATGCTTCTGTAACTTAAAAGGACCATGAGCAGCAGTTCTTTAAATTCTTTGAATCTATTTTCGCGCTGATTCAAAATGAAGACTGGTGCACACAATAGGTAAAGATAGGGTATATGTATATGTCGGGTCACAGGTTAATTCGTCGGGTCACAGGTTAATATGTCGGGTCACAGGT